ATTAAACTGATGAGGAGCTTCTTGATGTTGCTTTCTTTTCCCATTAATGCTTTACTTGTTCACTTGACTATGTTTGATTTTTGTAATTAGTCACAACTTGATATTTAACTAGTTTTTGTATTTGTTTAGGGCTCGTTCTAAGCGAGCAAAGACAGCAATTTGTGGCTCCAAGAGATTCCATATCACTTAAAACAATTAATAAAAACACTACTCCATTTATATTATTAAGTCACTGTTAATCTTTCATAAAGATCCTTAAAACATCTTACTACTCCAACTTATTGGATGTTAGAGTCACCTGTATATTTTATTATAATTTGTAAAAAACAAAAAGGCCAAGTACTTGTTGACTCTTTAATGCTTCAAACAGTTTGATAAGTATCTATTTGTTTTATTTCTGGCCTTCATTACTGAAACATTGTGTTATTCAACATGATATTATTATTTGAATGTCTTTGATCACTTTCATTTTGCATCACTTTTTTGTCACTTGTATATTTATTATAGTATAATATTTATTTAATGGTTAATTCATGTTTATATTATATAGTAGTTAAATACACAAAACCCCACTTTGAAATAAAGAGCTTTTAAATACTCATATTCTTTGTCAGACTCTTCCTGAGATGAAATAATTGAGAAGATGCATTAGGCTGTTGTTCTTGTTTTTAAAATTATGGCTATGTTACAGGAACGATTACATAATTTTAACCCTAATTTATTTAACTTATCCATAATATTCATCCATCTCTGTTAATGAGATTGATTTTTTTTTTTTTTTTTTGTAGTACAGAAAAGTTTTGCTGACAAACATTTGTGAAGCTGGCATGCAGTAGAGTAATGTCGTGCTTGGCACATTTTGCTCCTACCCAGGTTACTGTCATAAAGAAGGGAGAAACTGTTCGGCACATGCTGCTGAATTTCTTCAAACTCTACCATTGTATATTACTTTTTGACCAATGTTTTCTTCTTGGTTTTATATCAGTAGAAATTAAAAAATTTATGCAAAAAGAATTCCACTGTAGGTCTTGCTAGAATTTAGTACAGAAAACCAGTGACTACATGCACAGCAGATGTACCAATGAGAAAACATGTTATATAACAGTACACACAATATATAAAGTATTTCTAAATAAAGTTT